CTCTCCTCTACTCTTCTCTTCACCAGGTGCATACACACTTATTATGACCCACTTTTTGCAACCAACCCTTATTTTAATCCACATAATCCTTGAATTTATACATTTATATTCCCTCTTCTCCTTCCATAACTGATCCTTCAACATTATTGCTACCCCCTTTCTCAGCTCTAACTCTCAGATACTCCTAAATTAATCCCATTTATTTCTCCCCTCTGAAACTCACCTACCCCCTTCAGTTTTGTTTCGCTTAGAGCCAGGGCATCCAACTTCTTTTCATTCATAATATTAGCAATTATCTCTTTCTTATCATCTGCACTACATCCACACACACATTCAAGCATTTCAGTTTTATAAAGTTTTTCTTCTCTTTTTTTAGTATTTTGTACAGGAGAAGGGGTCACTAGTCCATTGCTCCCAGCATTTTAGTCGCCTCATATGACACGCATGGCTAACGGAGGAAAGATTCTTTTCCACTTCCCCATGAAGACTAGAGGAAATAAATAAGAACAAGAACTATTAAGAAAAAGAAGAAAAAATCTAGATGTGTGTATGTATATATATATACATGTGCATGCCTGTGTAGTGTGACCTCCTAAGTGTAAGTAATAGCAGCAAGATATACTTGTTATCCAGCATGTTTATGAGACAGAAAAGACACCAGCAATCTTACCATCATGTAAAACAATTACAAGTTTCTGTTTCACACTCACCTGGAAGGATGGTAGTACCTCCCTGGGTGGTTGCTGTCTACCAACCTTCTACCTACTTCCACTTAATACTTCAAATGATATCCCCCCTCATTCTATGTCTCTCATGAGACTGAAGAGTCAAGGCTCTCATTCTATCCTTGTATGAGAGAGTCCTTATACAAAGAATTAATTGTCACCCTTCCCTTTATGTTGTCCAATGTATTTATATCCATTCAGTAGTATGGAGACCAAAACTGAATAGCATAACCTAAGTGAGGCCTTAATAGTGATGCACAGAGCTGTAAAATAAACTACTGGAGTCTTGTTACTTATACATACAGGGGAACCTTGGTTTTCATTTGCCCTGGTTTTCGTCGAATTTGGTTTTCGACGGCTTTTTTCATCAAAATGTTGTTCCAGTTTTCGTTTGTCACCTTGGTTATCATCTGATGTACTGAACGTGTCCGCACATCTGCGCCCACACAAAGCATCCCATGCGCACATTCTGAGTCAGTCTGGCTTTGTTTCTTGTCGAGTGAACATTACCCTGTGTGTTCATACGAAACTTTTCATAATAATTGATTGTTTATTGAGTGCAACTGCTAAATAAGCCACCATGGGGCCAAAGAAAGTTCCGAGTGCCAGCCCTTTGATGAAGGTCAGAAACACGACAGAATTCAAGAAAGAACTTGTAGAAAAGTACAAAAGTGGCGTACATGTGGTTGATCTGGCCAGGATGTACGGGAAGTCCTCATCAACGATCAGTTCCATCCTGGCGAAGAAAAAAGAAATCAAGGAACCTGATGTTGCGAAAAGGGTAAGTGTGCTACCGAAACAGATCGCAAACAATCGAAGATGTTGAGTTGTAGTTGTTGGTGTGGATCAATGAAAAACAGTTAGCAGGAGATGGTGTTGTGGAGGCGATAATTTGCGAAAAGACAAGGCAGCTGTATGCGGATCTCATAAAGAATATGCCTGGAATGAGTGCTGCTGTTAGTGAATTTAAGGCCAGCAGAGGCTGGTTCGACAAGAAGCGATCTGGCATACACAGTGTGTTAACCCCTTGACTGTTGCAACCCCAAATCCTGAGGTGTCTCCTGGTGTCGCAAAATTTAAAAAAAAAAAAGAAAAAAAAATTATTTTATGAAATGATAGAGAATCTTTTCCCAGTTGTAATGACACCAAAAGAACGAAATTTGATGGAAAACTGATGGAATTATGCTCTCGTGAAGTTAGCGACATCGGCGATATTTACGAATTGGCGATATCGCCCACTTTGAGCCCCATTTTTGGCTAATTTCATTATTTCAGTCAACCAAACTCATAGCTATTTCTTTAGAACTCCATTTATTCTATCAATTGAGTACAAGAAACTGCCCATTTACTGATTTCAACTACCCAATAACATGGTCAGAAATTTGCAATTTGGCCAATTTCACGAAAATTAAAAAATATGACAATTTCAAAATAGGGTCCAGAATGAACAATGCAGACATTCCTGGCTCTAAAATAACATTTTCTTTGTTCATCAGTCACGTCTCCAGGCCCCTCTGATATTACTCTTGCTTTCTATTTTGAATTTTTATTCAGACAAAAAAATAGAAGATTTACTGTTATGCAGACTGCTGCAATATTGTAATAATTGTATAAATAATGTCAACTCATTCATGACTGCATATTAGAATGGCTACTTGGACATTTATTGGAAAGTGACATCATTTGTTTATTTTTGAACATCGGCAAAAATCAGACATTTCCCCTACTTTGAGCTCCATTTCAAGGTTTTTTTAATAGTAAAACCAATCAAAATCACCTCTATTTCTATAATATGTTTTCCATTCTATCAAATGAGACCAAGAAAGCAAGAATACAACCATAAATACTATAGAAAAATAGACCATAAAGTCGGCATTTTAATTAAAAAAAACGGTCGGAGTTTTTTTTCTCATTATGCACTGCATGCTGCAGGATTTTTTTTATATGGTGCACAATGACCACACAGGCCCATTCTCTCACATGTGGGCCTACCAGCTTTCTCCTGCTTGATCTGAAGCCGCTAGAATTTATGAGTACGTATATATACGTCAAAAACGGTGGCTCGTAAGACATATATATACGACCAAAACAGCCAAAGGGTTAAGGTATGGCGAGGCTGCAAGTTCAGACAAACGAGAGTCTTTAATAAAGGTAAAACTCATTTAAATGTTCATTTATCCATTAAAATTAGTGCTTTATATTTATTTCTCATTGTTTTCTGTATGTAAAACTACAGTTATTCTCTATAAAATGTATTTTTTGTTCATATTTTTGGGTGTCTGGAACAGATTAATTGGATTTACATTATTTCTTATGGGAAATATTGCTTTAGTTTTCGTCAAATTTGGTTTTCGTCAAACTCTCTGGAGCGAATTAAAAATGAAAATCAAGGTTCCACTGTATTTCTTAATATAAATCCAAGAAATCCGTTAGCCTTACTGCACACACTTAAGTACTGTTGTCTTGATTTCAGATTTCTGCTTACCATGACTCCTAAGTTAACAGGAGCCCAATAGTTATTTTACAGTTCCATACATTACTAGTAAGGTTTAAAAAGACACACAAGCAAGAACTAAGATTATTTATTAGAAAACCTTTTGGTCCTGGATTATTATTATTATTATTATAATCAAGGGGGAAGCGCTAAACCCGGAGGATTATACAGCGCCTGGGGGGGGGGATGTGGAAGGCATTCAGGCTTAATTCGGGGAACTGGAGCACAGATCCAATTCCCTAAATCAAGAGCCCCTCACCAACATCAAGGAACCTTCCTTGAGGGGTTTTGGTCCTGGAACCTTGATCAACTTGATCACTTCTGTGAGAATAAATCGATAGAACAGAAGGCATACTACCTTACATTTGATGAGTTTCAAGAGTTTTTCTACTCCCAAAACCCAGCCTTGGGCCACATTTTATCCCTGAGAACCAAAGATGTCTCTCTACCCTATTAAATTTAGGCTAAGTTGTAGTGTTTGGTGGTTATGTATATCATCAATGAGACATGGGTCATTTGAGAGACATTCAAGGCCATTCCCCAGGAGGCAACCCACAACTAACACCTGGTACCTTCTTACTGTAGGTGAACAGGGACAGCAAGTGTAATAATACTAGTGAAATGGGTAAGAATTAGTTCTGTTTGAGCCATGTAATGGGCCTAAAAAATCGCTGATATGTAAATTGTGCCCCGACTGCCAACTTCAAACCTGCATATTTCAGCAAGTTTATCATCAAATTTCACTTTCTTGTGTGTGTGTCATTATCTCCAGAAGATTCTCTACAATTTTAGATAAAATTATTATTGCTATTTTTTAAATCACAACACCAACAGCACTTTTAATTTTGAGAGTAGCGAGAGTGAGAAGGTTAGTCTTAATAACTGTAATCTGCCAATCTCTTTCATTATTGAATAATTTCTGTAACCATCATCGTATTGTAGCTTAATAGTCAGATTTTGTTTATATGAACCAAATACACAGTATTTGGTTTATATAAACCAGTATATATAAACAGTATCTTTCTTTGTCATATAATTTGGTAATTTTCAAAGTGCAAACCATCAACCCATTAATTCATTCTTCTCAGATGTGCAAGACAAAACTTAGTTATTGGCATAGCACCAGGAACATCACATAGCCTGATACATAGTGACAAGTAATCCATCCATATATCTCTATCTCTATCTCTCTCTCTCTCTCTCTCTCTCTCTCTCTCTCTCTCTCTCTCTCTCTTTTTTTTACACAGGGTTTGACAAGGTTAGGTTAAGGATCCCTAGCTTTATTGACAAGCTATTTACAGGTTAAGGATTCCTAACTTTATTGGCAAGCTAAGAGCTGTTACCTACATCAGCTCATTTGAAAGCATTTTTATTGTTATGAGACATACAAGTAGGGAACAGGATGAACTTGGAGCCATCTGTGGGCCAACATTTTCATTTGATCAACTGACTTTATCTCTCTCTCTCTCTCTCTCTCTCTCTCTCTCTCTCTCTCTCTCTCTCTCTCTCTCTCTCTCTCTCCCTCTCTCTCTCTCCCTCTCTCTCTCTCTCTCTCCTCTCTCTCTCTCTCTCTCTCTCTATCCCTCTCTCTCTATCCCTCTCTCTCTATCCCTCTCTCATCTTCCTGTCAACAGTCTAAATAAAAAGGTGTGGTGGTGTGAGAGACTGAGTGCTACACAGAGTTCCACTCACAGCCAAAATGACATGGGTTCAATACCTGGAATGGATAATTTAGCCTGTAAATTAAAAAAAAAAATTAAGCAAGACAAATATAAACCCACCTTGAGGGAGATGGAGGAGGATAGTGTTGGCAAGAGCCACTCTGGTGTAGGAGGTGATAAAACCAAACTTTTGTTCAGTGCTGGAGATTAGCTCCTCCTCAGACAGCTGCTGCTGACGAACCACACTGTACTGCAGGTTACTGTCACGTACCTCATCTTCACCATTCACCTGTCATACACGTGCAACCCATTACAATTCATACAGCCACATGGCTCACACAAATAGTAAAATATATACACAAAATACATGCATTGTAAAAGAAATATTAAATCCTTTTATAAAAGCAAAATAAAACAATTATAATAATGATAAATATATCTCTCATAATCTTTTTAGGGTAAGCACTCAAGAATCAGGACCTTACCGAACACTACAGTAATCACGAAGAATTAGATTTGTATAACATCTGGGTATCTTTATTTGTAGATGTTTTTCCATCCAGTAGCTTTATCAATAGAATTCAAGAACATTATGTGAAGACTAGAATTACATGCAAAAGACGAAGTAATTAGTCAGTCAGCCTTGGAGTTGGTGATGAGCGCTGTAGTCTTGAAGAATCACAAGCTTCAGATCGAACTGTACTGATAATGTCACTGGAGGGCGAAACGTCTATAAAGATGCCCAAATGTTGCATGTGTCTAATTCATCATCTTGTCAGTATTATGTACCATTCATGTACAACAATAATCATATAGTGCAGCGGAGGATACAGAAGTGAACAGTTACCGTAACTACCTGGAGTAACAGGCACAGTAGTTTACACGCTACTATAACAACTACCAGGAGTGAGAGATACAGTAGTTTACACACTACTATAACAACTACCAGGAGTGAGAGATATAGTAGTTTACACACTACTATAACAACTACCAGGAGTGAGAGATACAGTAGTTTACACACTACTATAACAACTACCAGGAGTGAGAGATACAGTAGTTTACACACTACTATAACAACTACCGGGAGTGAGAGATATAGTAGTTTACACACTACTGTAACAACTACCAGGAGTGAGAGATACAGTAGTTTACACACTACTATAACAACTACCGGGAGTGAGAGATATAGTAGTTTACACACTACTATAACAACTACCAGGAGTGAGAGATATAGTAGTTTACACATTACTATAACAACTACCGGGAGTGAGAGATATAGTAGTTTACACACTACTATAACAACTACCAGGAGTGAGAGATACAGTAGTTTACACACTACTATAACAACTACCAGGAGTGAGAGATATAGTAGTTTACACACTACTATAACAACTACCAGGAGTGAGAGATATAGTAGTTTACACACTACTATAACAACTACCAGGAGTGAGAGATACAGTAGTTTACACACTACTATAACAACTACCGGGAGTGAGAGATATAGTAGTTTACACACTACTATAACAACTACCGGGAGTGAGAGATACAGTAGTTTACACACTACTATAACAACTACCAGGAGTGAGAGATATAGTAGTTTACACACTACTATAACAACTACCGGGAGTGAGAGATATAGTTTACACACTACTATAACAACTACCGGGAGTGAGAGATACAGTAGTTTACACACTACTATAACAACTACCAGGAGTGAGAGATATAGTAGTTTACACACTATAACAACTACCGGGAGTGAGAGATATAGTAGTTTACACACTACTATAACAACTACCAGGAGTGAGAGATACAGTAGTTTACACGTTACTATAACAACTACCAGGAGTGAGAGATATAGTAGTTTACACGTTACTATAACAACTACCAGGAGTGAGAGATATAGTAGTTTACACACTATAACAACTACCAGGAGTGAGAGATATAGTAGTTTACACACTACTATAACAACTACCAGGAGTGAGAGATATAGTAGTTTACACGTTACTATAACAACTACCAGGAGTGAGAGATATAGCAGTTTACACACTACTATAACAACTACCAGGAGTGAGAGATATAGTAGTTTACACGTTACTATAACAACTACCAGGAGTGAGAGATATAGCAGTTTACACACTACTATAACAACTACCAGGAGTGAGAGATATAGTAGTTTACACACTACTATAACAACTACCAGGAGTGAGAGATACAGTAGTTTACACGTTACTATAACAACTACCAGGAGTGAGAGATATAGTAGTTTACACTTACTATAACAACTACCAGGAGTGAGAGATATAGTAGTTTACACACTACTATAACAACTACCAGGAGTGAGAGATATAGTAGTTTACACACTACTATAACAACTACCAGGAGTGAGAGATACAGTAGTTTACACGTTACTATAACAACTACCAGGAGTGAGAGATATAGTAGTTTACACACTACTATAACAACTACCAGGAGTGAGAGATACAGTAGTTTACACGTTACTATAACAACTACCAGGAGTGAGAGATATAGTAGTTTACACGTTACTATAACAACTACCAGGAGTGAGAGATATAGTAGTTTATACACTACTATAACAACTACCAGGAGTGAGAGATATAGTAGTTTACACACTACTATAACAACTACCAGGAGTGAGAGATACAGTAGTTTACACGTTACTATAACAACTACCAGGAGTGAGAGATATAGTAGTTTACACGTTACTATAACAACTACCAGGAGTGAGAGATATAGTAGTTTACACACTACTATAACAACTACCAGGAGTGAGAGATATAGTAGTTTACACACTACTATAACAACTACCAGGAGTGAGAGATATAGTAGTTTACACGTTACTATAACAACTACCAGGAGTGAGAGATATAGCAGTTTACACACTACTATAACAACTACCAGGAGTGAGAGATATAGTAGTTTACACGTTACTATAACAACTACCAGGAGTGAGAGATATAGCAGTTTACACACTACTATAACAACTACCAGGAGTGAGAGATATAGTAGTTTACACGTTACTATAACAACTACCAGGAGTGAGAGATATAGCAGTTTACACACTACTATAACAACTACCAGGAGTGAGAGATATAGTTTACACACTACTATAACAACTACCAGGAGTGAGAGATACAGTAGTTTACACGTTACTATAACAACTACCAGGAGTGAGAGATATAGTAGTTTACACACTACTATAACAACTACCAGGAGTGAGAGATACAGTAGTTTACACGTTACTATAACAACAACCAGGAGTGAGAGATATAGTAGTTTACACGTTACTATAACAACTACCAGGAGTGAGAGATATAGTAGTTTACACACTACTATAACAACTACCAGGAGTGAGAGATATAGTAGTTTACACACTACTATAACAACTACCAGGAGTGAGAGATACAGTAGTTTACACACTACTATAACAACTACCAGGAGTGAGAGATATAGTAGTTTACACACTACTATAACAACTACCGGGAGTGAGAGATATAGTAGTTTACACACTATTATAACTACCGGGAGTGAGAGATACAGTAGTTTACACACTATTATAACTACCGGGATTGAGAGATACAGTAGTTTACACACTATTATATAGTTTCTATTATGTAAATACCATATAGAAAAGGGTAGCAGCAAACTCCTGATGTATCTAATTTTGTAAAAACAAATGTAGTGCTCACTAGGCCTGCCATCTCCTAAGTCAGCCTATGTACGTGGCCCATGACACCATCTGTGCCAAGTTGTGGAGATGGACTAATCTCTCTTTGATCTTTTGGACCACAGGCCAGATATGCTTGTCCACAAGCACGTTAGAAATCTGAATAATCAGTGGCTCAGATCCAGGCAAACTAATAAGACGAGAGCAGTGAGGACTGCAAGGAGCTCCAAAGTGAACACAAAAGATTCGATACAATGTATTACGAGTCTTCACCGGTGATCGTAACAAAGCCAACACCATCCTCGCTCTTGGAATTGTCAGTAAAAACCTTCATCATTGAAGCATGAATAAAGTCATGTTCCAAGAACTTAGCCAAGGCCATCACCACTGCTCAACACCCAGGGGTCCCTTTAAATTATTATTATTATTATTATTATTATTATTATCACGGGGAAGCGCTAAACCCGTAGAATTATACAGCGCCTGTGGGGGGGGGTGATGTGGAAGGTATTCAGGCTTAATTCAGGGAATTGGAGCACGGATCCAATTCCCTAGATCAAGAGCCCCTCAGCAGCGTCAAGGAACCTTCCTTGAGGGGACTGCCTATAAAGAGACACCTCAGACACAGTCGGAGGGAAAGGAGATGGCAACCTTTGACCACAGACACACTGATGCCACAAATCAAGGAAAGCAGCTTGCATCCGAACACTAAATGACACATGGAGCTTTGCATTATGAGCAAAGGTATCTCTGTCTCTGTCTCTCTCTCTCTCTCTCTCTCTCTCTCTCTCTCTCTCTCTCTCTCTCTTCTCTCTCTCTCTGCATCAGAAACTGGGTTGCCAGGTGTACGACAAACCTAAAACAGGCCTAACTCCTCACACAGGAGCTCCAGAGAAAAGTTCACCAGACTCAACAGAGGTTGTCAACAAGAAAAATGAGGAATGCACAAAGGTGATGAACAAGATTCAGTAAATGCAGCAGGGAAGAGCTGGCCGGGGAGAAGATCTAGCGGCCATATTCCAACCTGGAACAGCACAAGGCCACACAGGAGGAACATGATCTGCCGATCTGCATCCCCCTGTATACAGGTATTGCGTGAGAGCACCTTAAGATGCCTAGCACTCACACAGCTGCCACTGTGAGCTTTATATGACAGACCCATACCAAGCCGCAATCTAAAAATCATCAACATAAATGTCACATACTGCTCCTAGGAAAGGACCCACCCCATTATGGAGCAGCACATGAGCAGCAAACTGCTGAATCCAGGACCGAGTTAAATAAATAGCCACCATCTTCTGAGTGGAAAATCGTTAGAAGCAGCCCACTCTGTGCTGTGGGTAACAAGTGTTTAGTCACACTTGTACTGTAATTCATATCCTAGTTGACCTCACAATAGAAACAATTATGAAATAATTATAAAGAATACCTTCCTCTAGTCTCTCTCTCTCTCCCCTCTTCTTCTTTAATAACTTCAAATGGTCAGAACATCTTACAATAAAATAATGTCCCCCTTCAACCCATTCTCTGAAGCTGCTAAGACTCCTTGGAGAACTTACAGCCACTTGTATCAGTGGCACATCTTAATGACCTTCACTTACGTT